GATGTGCAGGTTAGGGTGGATTGGCTGTGCTAAATTACCCCATAGTGTGCAGGGATATGCAGGTTAGGGTGGGTTGGCAATGCTAAATTACCCCATAGTGTGCAGGTTAGGGTGGATCGATCATTATAAATTACCCCATAGTGTCCCGGAATGTGCAGGCTAGGTGGGTTAGCCATGGGAAATGCAGGGTTATAGGGTGGGATGCTCTTTAGGTGCGGACCTTGATGGGCTGAATGGCCTGCCTCCACACTGTAGGGATTCTATGACTCATAACAAAAGCAGAATGAGAATAATTCATCAATAGTTATCAACATTTCATGAAGCTGAAAGGCACAGAACACAATGAAAACATTCATTTCCAAGATACCACAGACTTTAGTTTGTTACAAGACAATAGACATAAGTGTACAGAGCACTTTTTTAAATTTCAAAATAATTGCCACACACTTTGACACATGATCTGCTATCATTGGAAACACCTTCCACAAACATGTGGGGTCACAGCTCAGAACGTGCACAAAGCAAGAACATTTTAACCAGGCAGTTTCAACTCTATTCATTGCAACTCAGATGTTAGATTCAGATTTTAAATTGAGCAATTGGTTATGTGCACTACAGTAGGATCCAGTATATTTTCTCCTGAAACTATGCAGCCTTAAACTGGAGATTCCACAGTAATTTGCAAGGAAGCCATTAAGTCAGTGATTTAAGCTTTTCTTTGTTTCCAGTTGACTGAGTGTTTTTTCTGTTGCTGATTGGTTCAAAACTGTTCTTTCTCTCTGTCCCCACCCCCTGGCAAGCACATTCTCCCCCCCCCCCCACCCCCACCCGCTGCAGCATCCCTCAAGCCCCCACTTTCAACCACCCTCTTCCCAACTCTTCAACCCCTCAAGGCCCCAGCTCTACCTCCACACATCCCTACACCCCCCTCCAAACCTGGGGAAAGGCAGGATCTTGGTACACAGACCCCCTCCATCTGCTACCAAATTCTCAGCACCTTCACTTCTAGTATACCATAAGACCCTTTCTGTCTGTACATTTTTAATCGACCTGTTCAGACATGTTACAGACGCACCTCTGTAGTGAATGGGGCTTGATCCCAGATCTTCTGATCCAGAGGTAGGGACACGACAAATGCACCACAAGATTTTCTCTCTACGTACATGACCACAGTTCTAAATCACGTGTCACCATTAGCCGCAAATCTTTAACAGCCTAACCATTAACATGCGAATCATTTCGCTTTGTACCCTTTCTCTAGTCAATACCTGACAATCTCAGATTCACTGTTACTAATCACTGTAACATCTGCTGCTTTCTGTACGAGATGGTTCCACACTGTGACCTTCCATTGCGTGAAGATGTAATTCCCAATTCTCTCCTTCCCCACTCCTATTTCACTCTTTGTACTAAACTTAGTGGAAAGGCTTCTCTCTAAAGTCAAAATCGTATAATCAAAACCTCCATTGGATCACCCCCTTCCCTTCTGTTTTCAGAAGAACACGGGCCTAGTCTGTGTAGTTGTTCTATACAAGCTCATCCTTCCCTCCTGTAATGTTTGATGTGGTTCTAATCTGACCTTTACTTAATTCCTTCATGGGATGGGATGCTGATGAGACCATCATTTGTGGCCCATCCCTAACTGCCTTTGGACTGAGTGTCTTGCTGAGTCATTTCAGAGTTACACACATTGCTGTGGGCCTGGAGTCACATGGAGGCCAGACCAGGTAAGGATGGTACATTTCCTTCCCTGAAGGACATTAGTAAACCAAATTGGCCTTTAACGATAATTAGAGATAGCCTGACTGTCATCATTATAAGACTGAGATCAGGATTTTATTGATTAATTAAACGTAAATTCCACCAGCTGCCTTAGAAATCATAGAATCCCTACAGTGTGGGAAGAGGCCATTTGGCCCATTGGTCTGTACCACCCTCCGAAGAGCATCCCACCAGACCTACCCCCACACTTACCATGGCCAATCCACCTAGCCTGCACTCTATTGGTAATTTAGCATAGCCAATCCACCCAGCCTGCACTCTATTGGTAATTTTGCATGGCTAATCCACCTAGCCTGCACATCTTGGGACTTGTAGGAGGAAACTGGAGCACCCAAAGGAAACCTACGCTGACACAGGGAGAACATGCAAATTCCACACAGACAGTCACCCAAGTGTGGAATTGAACCCAGGTCCCTGGCACTCTCAGGCAGCAGTGCTAACCACTGAGCCACCGAACCACCATGCCTTGGTGGGATTTGAACTAACGTACTTTATCCTGTAGATTACCAGCCCACTACACCAGTGTCTTCCACTTTCAGTGTTCATTAGGGCATACGAGTGTGGATAAACCCCACCCCAGTCGATGGAGTAAACCCCCATCGCTTTCCCATTCGAGGCCAAGTCAGTTGCTTTATGCGTGTGTCGAGTGGTTTCTGTGTTTCTAGGTCCTCAGTGCCATTGTTTGTTGTTGCTTTCCAGGTCAATGGGCAGAATGTGGTGAAGGTGGGGCATCGACAGGTGGTCAACATGATCCGGCAGGGTGGCAATAACCTCATGCTCAAGGTCGTCATGGTAACTCGCAATCCCGACATGGAGGAAGCTTCCAGGAAGAAAGGTGAGGGCCTCTTGGAAAGGCGGGAATTCTGATGAATTTGGTCTTGGTCTCAGCTGTGATGCCTTTGTCGATTGATTGGCCAACCAATAGTCTGGGTTTCCATGTGATCGATGGCTGTCTGTGATCTGTTGACGGACCAGTTGGTCTGTGTGTGGGTTGGGCAGAATGGAATCCCTTTGATCGCGAGCTTAATTAGATCCTCGAGGATCCCAGTCTGTTTTTCAACCAGAATACTATCTTTGAAGTGAAGGCAGTGTCCTTTCGTATATCATCATTCCTGCATGACAGGATCCTACAGACAATGGAGTGACCGGTTCAGGGATGAATCATTGTCTGAACATAAAAACAGTTCTCCATCTTTCTCTCCTTTAGATTAATTTGATCCTACAAATCATCCCAAACAGTTACATCTCAGTTTCACATCGCAACTAAATGAGACTCCTCCGACAGTGCGTCACTCCCTCAATACTGACCCTCCGATAGTGCCTGTTCCCTCAGCACTGACCCTCCGACAGCGTGGCGCTCCCTCAGCACTGATCCTCCGACAGCGTGGTGCTCCCTCAGCACTGACCCTCCGACAGCGCGGCGCTCCCTCAGCACTGACCCTCCGACAGCGCGGCGCTCCCTCAGCACTGACCCTCTGACAGCGCGGCTCTCCCTCCAGTACACGCTCTCTGACAGTGTGGCGATCCCTCAGCACGACCCTCTGACAGTGTCATACTGTCAGTGAATGCCCTCTACCATCTCTAATGCAGTTGACTCAGCTCTCCATATCCCTCCCCCGCATGCCACCCGCCCCCCCCCCCCCACCCCACCCCACCCCACCCCACCCCAGCAGGACAGCAGCTAATTATTGTAGGAGCCAGTTAGTGCCTGAAATGGTGAACTGACATTACAGGATAAGCCCTGCCTGTCAGGGTACCCTGGGAGAAGTGATCCAGTTTGTGTTGCAAAGTGACCAGTTCACTTGTTGTTCTAAGCTCTGGAGAGTTTGTAGTGATGTGTTCTTACTCTTAAGAACTTTCATGTAACTCCGTTGTAATGTAACTAGTGATTAAGTATTATGTAGTAAACCTACTCTGTTCATCAACACTGATCCTCTCTTATACAGTCATATAGCATGGAAACAGACCCTTCGGTCCAACTCATCTGCATAGACTAGACGTCCCAATCTGACCTAGTCACATTTGCCTGCATTGGCCCATATCCCTCTAAACCCTTCCTACTCATATACCCAACCAGATGCCTTTTAAATGTTATAATTGTACCAGCTTCCATCCCCTCCTCTCGCAGCTCATTCTCTTCCCTAGCTTCCCACAAAGTTCTGGGAAACACCTGATCGGGTCCCAGGGATTTATCTACCTTTGTGCATTTTAAGACCTCCAACACCTCCTCTCCAAGTTCTCCTCCACAGTAAATACTGATGCAAAATAATCATTTCGTATCTCACCCAACTCCTGTGGTTCCCCCCATCAGTGGCCATGTTTATCTTTAAGGGACCCTATTGTCTCTCCAGTTACTCTTTTGCCCTCAATATACTTATAGAATCCCTCTGGATTCTCCTTAAGTCTATTTGCCAAAGCTATCTCATGCCCCCTTTTTGCCTCCTGATTTCCTTCTCAAGTGTACTCCTGCTGCCTTTATACTCCATTAGGATCCCAGCTGTCCATACCTGACATATACCTCCTACTTTTTCTTGACCAGAGCCTCAATTTCTCTAGTTATCCAGCATTCCCTATACCTACCAGCCTTGCCCTTCACCCTAACAGGAACATACTGTCTCTGTGCTCTTGTTATCTCATTCTTAAAGATCTCCCACTTCCCGACCATCCCTTTACCCATGAATTGTCTCCCCCAATGAACTTTTGGAAGTTCTTGCCTGATACCATCAAAATTGGCCTTTCTCCAATTTTGAACTTTAACTTTTTGCTCAGTTCTATCCTTTTCTATGACTATTTTAAAACTAATAGAATTATGGTCACTGGTCCCAATGTGCTCTCCCACTGATACTTCAGACACCTGCCCTGCCTTATTTCCCAACAGAAGGTCAAGTTTTGCTCCTTTCTAGTAGGTACATCCACTTATTGAATAAGAAAGTTTTCTTGTACACACTTAACAAATTCCTCCCCATCCAAGCCCTTAAGACCATGGCAGTCCCAGGTTTATGTTTGGAAAGTTAAAATCCTCTGCCATTACAGCCTTATTTTTCTTACAGATATCTAAGATCTCCTTACTTTTTTTTCTTCTGAATTGCCCGTTGACTTTTGGGAGGCCTATTATACAAACCCAATAAGGTGATCAGCCCGTTCTTATTTCTCAGTTGCACCTATATAACTTCATTGAGTGATCTCTCAGGAATATCCTCCCTATGTACAGCTGAAATGTTATCTCTAACCAAAAATGCCACTCCTCCTCCTGAGAGATAGTAGGAACTGCCGATGCTGGAGTCTGAGATAACAAGGTGTGAAGCTGGATGAACACAGCAGGCCAGGCAGCATCCGAGGAGCAGAAAAGCTGATGTTTTGGGTCCGGACCCTTCTTCAGATTGAAGAAGAGTCCAGACCCGGAACGTCAGCTTTCCTGCTCCACTCCTCCTCCTCTCTTGCCTCATTCTGTATTCTCCTATATCCCGAACATTAAACTGCCAGTCCTGTCCATCCCTGAGCCACATTTCTGTAATAGCTATGATATCCCAGTCCCATGTTCCCAACCATGCACTGATCTTATCTGCCTTACCTGTCAGGCCACTTGCATTAAAAGTAAATGCAGTTTAATTTATTAGTCTTTGCCAAGCTCTTACCTGCCTTGACTATTAGACTTGCTCTCCTTATTGCCTGTACCAGCCTCAGCCTTTTCTCTTTTCTCACTGTTGCTTTGGTTCCTACCCTCCCCCTTTACTAGTTTAAAACCTCCCAAGTAGCGCTAGCAAATCTCCGGACAAGGATATCAGTCTTCTTCCAATTCAGGTGCAGCCTGTCCCTCTTAAACAGGTCATTTGAAGAGATCCTAAACTCTTCTGCCAAAATTTTTGCACAGACATCCTGCCCCTCTCGATATCAGTTACTTTGATTAATACCAATAAGGACAGGTGGCAAGGAATCTACCAGAGGTATCTGTGATGGTACTAGTGGACACAGTTATAGCATGGAGCATGCCAACAGGAAAATACACCAGTGATGGGGTGTAATATTTTCTGTTTCAGTCACGACGCAGACAAAACGACTCACTCCACCCGCCGTTGCCCTCCGCTCAAAATCCATGACCTCTGAACTTGAGGACTTCGGTAAGCACTTTCAGTTTTTCTAGGCGTAACGAACCAGCTATGACGGTTTCTCACTTGGACCACTTCACCATTTACACACTCCCAATCCCGTCAGTAAGATCGCAAATGCCTGGGCCAGGGTGTTTCTAATGGAGGGCCATCTGTCGCCTCAGGCTGAGAACCTCTGCCCCCGTCACTCCGCCCCCCCCACCCAGTAGCGCCAGTCCCCAAGGAAGTGGAGGTTATGGAGGACGGGTTAAAGGTCAATCAGAGGAGACGGTGAGAAGCCAGCTGAGTGGCTTCCAGCAACTGGGAGTGTGAGGAACTTGGGGATGGAATGGGGGGAAGGGGGATTGGTGCGCAAGGGTACCTTAAGAAGGATTAAAAGGGATTATGACATTGGGAGGGATTGGGCAAATGGGTACATCCAGAGAAAAGATGCCCAGCCCCTCCTGCCTGACTCCAGTGCTCGATAAAAGCTGCCAGTTACCCCACTTTCACCCGCATTGGGGGTAAATTATCAGCCAAGGGGCAGGATGAAGCTCTTCAATGGCCATTAATTGGCTCCTTAAGGGCCCCAGTAGGCCGAGGGTGTATGGGTTGCCCAGTGCCCTCCCGGTAAAATGGGAGGATTGTTGGGGGAGTGTGGGTGGACTGGGACATGCCAGTGATTGGGGGGGGAGGGGTTGGCTGTGTGAAAGCAGCAGTCAGCCATGATTGTATTGAAAAGCAGGACCAGCTGGATGGGCTGAAGGGCCTACCCTGTTCCTGCTTTCCAAAGCACAGTGGCAGGGTTTGGAGGCTTTGTCACATGTCCACTTGAACTTCCAATCCCTAACCCTAATGGCCCATCCTCCTGGCACCTACAGCCAATTAGAAGATGCCTTGCTACAAGGTCAAATTCGCCTTAAATCTCGAGCCATTCACCTTCATGCCAACCAGTTTAACAACTAACACTTGGAGCAGAATTCCCATTGACGATATCCTGTGTTCTTTTATCCCATCGGTTGCTCAGCGGTAGATTCTGGAGATTAATTTTCAATTCTTGGAAACTCCAGGGCGATTATCGGGCAGGCTGTTAATGTCGAGAGTGTCAGGAGCTTAGGGCGAGCCAATAGGAAGTGGGGGTGAGGCCACATGATCTTGTTGAATAGTAGAGCCGGTTCAAGAGGTCGAATGGCCTACTCCTGCTCCTATTTCCCACCATTTTAATTCTGGAGGCTCGGGAACCTCCTTTTGTCGGGTGCTGTCGAGAGTGAAGGATTAAGAATGATCTTTCGGGGCAAACACACCCCACCCACGCACTCACAGTTGGTCATCTTGGGAGTTGGCGTCTTCTGGGTAGTTAAACATTTTCATCTTGAGAAACTGTAAGCACAGAACAAATAATCTCAAAGCAGCCAAGAGAAGGTGAAAGTCAAAAGGGACAATGCTATGATGGTTTCTCAGAATGACACGCGAATGGCTGAAGGGAGAATTGAGCCGTATATTTTGAAGGCTTTATCCCTCTTGCCGGGGCGTGGGTCCTCTGTCCCTTTCTAGTCTGTCCGTTCTGAAGAGCAAATTTCCTTGAAGATTCTGTTTCCATTCCTGTGTAATGACAATTAGATCACGCCTGTTTACCTCCATCTGTCCCCGTTGAATGATCTTCCTGATTGTGCTAGAGCTCTGAATCTTTCAAATAATGCCTTTATCTTTTCGACATCCTTCTGCTTTGGAAGTATGCGCGAATCTTGGCTTTGTTTCTCCTCTCTTTAGTCACCTTAGCAGCTTCTCCATTTCTGCTGCCAACTTTATTTCCTCCCTGCAGGTCCCTAGGCCCCTGACAAGCTAATTTTAACTGACCCAACAGCACCAGCAAATCTACAGGCTGTGATCTCAATCCCAGTTCTGTTAAAACGGGAACACATCTGGTTTGTCCCAGAGCAGAACGCAGTGCCCCCGAGACCGCTCCTGGGTCACTGGCCCCTCTGCAAGGACAGGAAATGCCAGCACCAGCCCAGTAGGTACCACTGACAAAGTTAGATGCTGGAAATGTATGTTGGCACTGGGCTCTCGTATGTAGCTGACACACCTCATAACAGAGACTCCAAGCAAACTGGTGATTGGTCCCAGCCTGTGTGGATTTGTGGCTTTGGGCAACAAGTTGATTTTTCCCGTAGGGATTGGAAGGATGAGATGGAAGGAACTTGACCATGCTTCAGTCTGAAACTCTTACCTTTCTTTTATTCCAGTCATAGATTTATACTACACAGAAACAGACCCTTTGGTCCAACTGGTCTGTGCTGACCAGACTATCCAATCTGACCTAGTCCCATTTGCCAGGACTTGGCCCATATCCCTCTAAAGCCAGTCTGTTCTGAAAGCAGAGACTGACCGTCCTGCAGATAGTCATGGCCCAGATCCAATGAAAACCTAGCACATGCCCTGTGCAAGGTAACCTGTATGCCTCTGCCTATGTCTTTTTGATCTGTACATCCTTTGCTTACCATTATCTGCCTGTACCGCTCGTAAACAAAGCTTTTCACTGTACTCCGGTACACGTGAAATAAATCAATCAATCAATTATTCTGGAGAACGTGGATTTCGTTTTTGTGTCTGTGTGCCATCTGTTGTTAGTGCCAATAAGCAGAATGGTCGCCAACCCTGTGCGCCAGTGTTTGAGCTCAGTGAGGTGCAGGTTCCAGTCCATTCGCCACCTCCCACGCCCACTGCCCATACCTTCAGCTGACCCTAAGATCTGGAATTCCTCTCCTGGCAATCCTCCCTGTCCTTCTCTCATTCTTTAAGCCATTCCTTCTTTGAACGAGCTTTCTTGGGTACCAGTCAGGATATCTCCAAGTGTGACTCAAAGTCTAATTTCGTTGGGTAATTGCTCCTGTGCGATGTTGAAGCACGCTAAGCAAATGCAAGACGCTGACCTTTTTAATGTGCAGACAATTACAGATGAACCCTTGGCCTGTTGTTGTAGGTTTAACTTCTAAATGGCTTGGAATTGTTTTCTCTTCCCCTCCCTTCCCCTATAGCCTCCCCGTGGAACAAGAAGACTGGTGAGTGAGGGACATGATGCATGGGAAACAAATTTTCTCCTCAAAGCCGAAAAGACTCCACCCACAAATATCTCACCACGCACCTCCAATGTCCACAAACCCATGACCTGCAATATCCCATATTCATCTTGTTCATTGAAGCAGCAAGGCCAAACTGGGACTTCACAGGTCTCAGATGGGGCAGGAGACCTGCAGGGATGTAGCAGGGGCCCCTAGCCACCTGCTACATGTAGATTTAGCTCAGTGGTTAGCACTGCTGCCTCGTAGCGCCAGGGACCCAGGTTCAATTCCACCCTGGGGTATCTGTCTGTGCGGAGTTTGTACATTCTCCCTGTGTCTGCGTGGGTGTGCTCCAGTTTCTTCCCACAGTCCAAAGATGTGTAGGTTAGGTGGATTGGCCATGTTATCTTTCCCACAGTGTGTGGGTTAGCTGTGGGTCTGGGTCTTAGGAGGGTTTGTGCAGGCTCAGTGGGCTGAATGGCCTCTTTCTGCACTGTAGGGATGTGAGAGTTGAATTTTGGACATGATGAAAAGATTTATCTTCTGAGCAAAGGCCGAGTTGGTCTGGTCTGTCATCATTGGAGTTTCGCCGAATGAGAGGAGATCTTAATGAAACGTATCAGAATCCTGAGGGAAGTTTACAGGGTGGATGTCGAGAGCATGTTTCCCCTTATGGCGGAGTTCGAAAACTAGGGGACACCGTTCCAGCACAAGACCTCGCTTATTTAAGGCAGAGATGAAGAGTACTTTCTTTTTCTCGAAGAGAGTGGTGAAAGTTTCAGAGTTCTTTTCCTCACACAGCATCAGCGGCTGACTCATTTAATGTATTCAACATTGAGTTTTAACAGGCAAAAGCAGAAAAGTGTTGGAGAAACTCAGCAGGTCTAGCAGCATTGGTGGGGAGAGAGAAGCAGAGTTAACGTTTTGAGTCCAGTGACCCTTCTTCAGCACCGATCACCGGACTCGAAACACTGACTGTTGTCTCTTCACAGATCTTTGAATGTCTGGCACCTTCCAAACCCACTTCCATCCAGAAGGACAAGAACAGCAGATACATGGGAACACTGCCCCATGCAAGTTCCCTCCAAGCCACTCACCATCCTGACTTGGAAATATATCGCCGTTCCTTCGCTGTCGCTGGGTCAAACTGCTGGAATTCTCTCCTCAAGGGGCATTTTGGGTCAACCCACAGCAGGAGGACTGCAGTGGTTCAAGAAGGCAACTCACCCCCACCTTCTCCTGGGGCAGTCAATGTTGGCCAGCCAGCGATGCCCACATCCCACAAATGCATTTTTAAAAGAAGTAGATGCTGCCAGGCCTGCTGAATTTCTCAAGCACGTTCTGCTTTGGTTTGTTTCATATCTCCAGTGTCCATCATGCTGTGTTTTATTATAGACAGATTGTTGTTTGACATGATGGCAGAGCAGACTTGAGGGGCTAAATTTCCATTTTACCATCCCATTTTACTCCCCAAACAGCGTGGTAACTAACTGTATTCGTGCTCAGTCAGAGGTACAGACTATAGCGTCTTTCCCGGGAGTCTGAAAGGCAGGACATTGAGTTGTATAAGTAGTTCCATTGAGAAATTTGTTCAACGACACCTTCCAAACGCACAACCTCTACCATCCAGAACGACAAGAGCAGCAGATACATGGGAACACCACACCCTGCAAGTTCCCCTCCAAGACACTCACCGTCCTGACTTGGAAATATATCGCCGTCTCTTCACTGTCCATTCCTTCACTCTCCCTCTAACCACACTGCGAGGATCCCACACCCTGAGGACTGCGGTGGTTCAAGAAAGCAGCTCACCACCGTCTGCTCCAGGGCACTTGGGAAGGGCAGTAAATGTCAGTCCAGTCAATAATACCTACATGATTAATTCATTCTGCTTGTAAAAATTTGTAGGACTTTTCTGCTGGAAAAATCCGTCTTTAGCAATGGGATTGGGGTTAAATTTTGTTGTCCAACTTGAGTAATCCTCAAGTGCGATCATTATTGTCCTTTTCTTTATTCTTTCATGGGATGTGGGCACTGCCTGGCATTTGCTTCCCATCCCTAATTACACTTGAGTGAGTGGTTTGCTCGGGCCATTTCGGAGGTGGTTAAGAGTCCACCACATTGCTGTGGGTTTGGAGTCACATATAGGCCGGACTGGGTAAGGACAGCAGCTTCTTTCCCTGGAGGACATTAGTGAATCAAATGGGTTTTTGCAGTAATCGATGATTGTTGCCATTGTCACCATTACTGAGGCTAGAAACCTGGAAAATAGCAGCAGGAGTGGGCCATTCGGCCTTCAAGTCCGCCCTGCCGTTCAATACGACTGTAGGTGATCATCTGACTCAGAACTCAGATCCTGCTTTCTCTCCATCCCCTTTGATCCCTTTAGCCCTAAGAACTAAATCTAACTCCCTTCTTGAAAACATTTGATGTTTTGGCCTCAACCACTTTCTGTGGCAGAGAATTCCACAGGCTCCCCACTCTCTGGGTAAAGACATTTCTCCTCATCTCAATCCTAAATGGCCTACACTGTATCCTTAGACTGTGAGCTCTAGTTCTGGATTTTCTGGTCATTGGGAACATCCTTCCCACAATTACCCTGTCTAGTTCTAATCAATCCAGTGTTTCTTCATTCATTAATCCTGCCATCCTGGTAATCAGTCTGGTTAATCTTCATTGCAATCCTTCCATAGCCACAACATCCATCAATCCAATATGGAGACAATAAACTGCACGCTGTATTCCAGGGGTGATCTCACCAAAGCCCTGTATGATTGCAACAAGTCATTGCTGCTACTGTACTCGAATCCTCTAGCTATGAAGACCATTTGGTTTCCTCACTATCTGCTGCATCTACAAGCTAATTATTGCAGAGATATCAAAGCCCACCAGCAGTCATGGTGGGATTAGAACTGGAACATTGGCCTTTGGCACCGTGGTAGTGTCCCTACCTTTAGGCCAGGCGCTCTGGCTTTGAGCCCCTACCAAGCCTTGGTGGGTGTGGAAGCATCATCATGATGTGCCTCCTTGATGTTAACCCTCTGTATCTCAAAGAAAAATTGAACACATGAAAAGGTGGATTAGCAAGGGCCTCTGGATTACCAGAGTCCAGTCTGTCATCTTCTCCACCTCTCCCGCTATTTGGCCGATGGAAAAGCACTCCCCTCCTTGTACTTTCTTAAACTGGGTCACACCTCCTCACTGGTTCACTCCACAGAGAGGCCTCTGGGATTCAGGATGACCCTTGGAAGAAGAGAGCATAGTCCTCCAGAGTGCACTTGGCTACCTGACCTCTAACCTTCTTGTCAACCTGTCGCTTTGTGTTTTTCAGATTACGAGCCCCAGCAGTCTACAGAGAAGAGGCGGAAAGTTTATCAAATGGCATTAAGTAAATAACCAATGCTACATTAAAAAAAAATGCCCTAAATACTGCGGGGAGGGGGAGGTCACTCAAAGGTCAGTCTTGGAATTGTGTTCCCACAGGGAGGAAGTCTTTAATATTCAAATCAGGAAATGCAGAGCAAATCCGAAAATGGACTATCACCTAAAACGTTCTGCACAGACTATGGCTGTGCATTTCTGGGATTTGAACCTTACTGAGCAAAGAAGCTGAAGTCTCTCATCTTGGGCCTTATCAGGACACATGCAAGAATGCCAAATTTCAAACAAATACAGCAATCAATCCTACAGGAAGAGACGGTGCAGACTGTTTCACAATTCAAACTCTGATTGTCCAAGATTTAGCTTCAACTGAAGGTAATGAGCTGCACTTGTAACGTGGCTGATTTACACTCAGTTCAAGAGACACACCTTCATTCAGAGGGACCCATTCTCTGCAAACAAAAGGAATATTATCAAGCCTTGCACCTTTCCTGAATTATCCCAGAATATCGGGAGCCTATCGTTCCTCACCGCATTCTCCATGGCAACACCTGAGCCACTCAGAGTCGACTTGCCAACCAATCGGTGCCCTTTTCTCCCATAGTGCAATTTGTTGTGAGCTTCTGAAATTTGGCACTGTTGCACACATCCTGATGGATGTAAGTTTAAGCAACGTCCTCCTTGCTTTTTCAGCAAGGTTTCCGGAACGTTCTGCCCTTCGGAAGGAAGGCTGTCGGGGTGTTTGGACGTCAGGTTGCGTTACGGGGCTGCTCTGGGCATCACACGTTTGGAAGGATGTCCAAGGGCTCAGAGGAGGTTTGCTAGAATGGGACCAGAGATGAGGAACTTTGAAAAGGTGAGGAGCACACGTAGGTCTTAGAGCCGGGAAGGTCGAAGGGAAATCGAACAGAGGCATTCGAAAGTATCTATCAGCAGGAGGGTCAGGAACTAAAGAGAGACAGCTGTAAGACCAGGGCGGGTGGGTGAGAAACGTGGAGAATTTGTTTGGCTCCATGAGTTATTGTGATCTGGAGTATGTTGCCTGAAAGGGCATTGGAACCAGATTCAGTTGGAACTCACAAAAGGCATTTGGATAAATACTTGAAAACATAAAGTCAGCAGCACAACAGGGAAAGAGTAAGCAAGTAGGAAGCTCTCTGATGGGCTGAATGACCATTTCACAAGGTCCTTTTCGTCTTTTCAGATTATTCAGTTGAAGGATGCGTTAACTCACTGAGGCCACATTCGTGTTAGAGGGTTGATTTGTGGTGAATTTGGGATGTTGGTTATAACCCCAGCCAGAATGATGTTTATGTCCAGCATTCCGGGAATGGTTTCCAGTTCCGGCTGAGCTACTTCCACTCAGCAGTTTATGGAGGGACAGGCCTTCTGTTTGTCACTCAGTAGGGTAGGGGGCAGGCTGTGTCTGCCTGTCTGTGAGGGAGTGAGGTGGAGTGCCTGGGGCTGAGGGGGAATGCCCGGGTGTGAATTGGAGAGACTGGGAATGAGGAGGGGAAGGGGGCAGTAAGGGGGAAAGTATGGGAGTGAAGGAGAGGGAAGGGGAATGTGAGGAAGAGAGTCTGGGAGTGAGGGAGAGGGAGGGAATGTGAGGGGGTGAGGGAGAGAGTCTGGGAGTGAGAGAGAGGGAAGGGGAGTGTGAGGAAGGGAGGGAGAGAGTCTGGGAGTGAGAGAGAGGGAAGGGGAGTGTGA